AACCTGGCGAAGATAACACAAAAAAAGAAAACTACAGACCAATATCCCTGATGAGTACAGATGCAAAAATCCTAAACAAAATACTAGCTAATCGAATAAAACAGTACATCCAAAAAATAATACATCACGATCAAGTGGGATTCGTTCCAGGGGCACAAGGATGGTTCAACATTCGCAAATCAATCAACATAATACATCACATTAACAAAAAAAAGGACAAAAATCATATGATCTTGTCAATAAATGCAGAAAAAGCATTTGATAAGATACAACATTCATTTATTATTAAAACGCTCAATAAAATAGGAATAGAAGACAAGTACCTCAACATAATAAAGGCCATGTATGATAAACTCTCAGCCAATATAATACTCAATGGTGAAAAACTGAAAGCTTTTCCCCTAAGATCGGATGGGATGTCCACTCTCACCACTCTTATTCAACATAGTACTGGTAGTTCTAGCCAGAGCAATAAGGCAAGAGAGAGAAATAAAAGGCATCCAAATAGGGAAGGAAGAAGTCAAACTGTCACTTTTTGCAGATGACATGATGCTGTACATAGAAAACCCTGAAGACTCTACCAAAAAAACTACTGGAAACAATAAACAAATGCAGTCAAGTTGCAGGATACAAAATCAATGTGCAAAAATCCATTGCCTTCCTGTATGACATACTTTAATAAATATTAGCTTCTTCTCTCACCCTACCTCTCCTCAAGGGAAGTCAGGAGACACTCTCTCCCTTCGGTCACAACATCACCTGAGACCAGCAGAGAGAGGCTATAAAGAGACTCTGGCTCAATTTATGAAATGTTTTCATGTAAAACTTTTTTTATGTTTTTATTTATTTCAGAGAGCAAAGGGGAGGGAGACAGGGATAGAAATATCAATGATGAGAGAGAATCATTAATTGGCTGCCTCCTGCACACCCCCTAAACAGGTATCAAGCCCACAACCCCGGGCATGTGCCCTGATCTGGAATGGAACCATGATCTCCTGGTTCATAGGTCAATGCTCAACCACTGAGCAACACCAGCCAAGCAGAGATGTAAATTCTCATTAAAATATATTCAACCCTCAGTGCGTCTCAGTAGTTAGAGCATCGGCCCTCGCACCCAAGGATCTCCAGTTCGATTTCCAGTCAAGGGCACATACCTGGGTTGCAGGTTCGATCCCAGCCTCGGTTCGAGCGTATGCAGGAGGCAACCAATTGATGCATCTCTCACATTGATGTTTCTCTTTCTCTCTCTCTCCCTCCCTCCTTCCCTTCTATTCTCTCTAAAAATTAATGAAAAAATATATCCTCAGGTGAGGATTAACAATATATATATATATACATTCAAAATACCAAACAAAATAAATAAGATATAAATCTACACTTGGACATACCAAAGTGAAACTAGAGAATATTATGTTAAAGAAGAAGGCACATATAATTACGTTCAGTGCAGTATTTTCTGAATAACTAAAATTGAAAACAATCTAAATGTTCATCAACAGAAGAATGAATATAAAATAGGGGGCAATACAATGAATCACTGTAGAGTAGTCAATGTGAATGAGAGCAAGTATCAACATGAATACGTTTCAAAAACAATGAACACCTGAGTGCCCTCAGCAGTGCCCAGACCCGCCTCTCGCTGCAGTTGTGCTTGGACAGAACAGACCCAGGGGTGCCCCTTCTTCAGCCTCTGATCACCCGCCAACCTCTTTTCCAGTCACCGCCTTTGGAACCATCTCAGCCATCCTCAGCCTCTGAGACCATGGTTTGAGCGTAACTCCTTATTGCTGAGCAACCATGGGCTCCCAAATTCGTCAGAATGATTCCACTGAGCTGGAAGCTGCCGTCAATCTCCTGATCAACCTGCATCTGCGGGCCTCCGACATCTACCTCTCTCTGCGTTTCCATTTGACCACGGTGATGTGGCTCTGGAGGGCATGAGTCACTTGTTCCAAGAGTTGGCTGAGGAGAAGTGAGAGAACATGGAGAGACTCCTGAAGATGCAAAACCACCTCTCCAGGCCGTGCCGGCCTCCAGGATGTGCAGAAGCCTTCCCAAGACAAGTGAAGAGGACGTGGAGGGAAACATTTACCGACATCGCTGCAGTTGTGCTTGGACAGAACAGACCCAGGGGTGCCCCTTCTTCAGCCTCTGATCACCCGCCAACCTCTTTTCCAGTCACCGCCTTTGGAACCATCTCAGCCATCCTCAGCCTCTGAGACCATGGTTTGAGCGTAACTCCTTATTGCTGAGCAACCATGGGCTCCCAAATTCATCAGAATGATTCCACTGAGCTGGAAGCTGCCGTCAACCTCCCAATCAACCTGCATCTGAGGGCCTCCGACATCTACCTCTCTCTCTGCGTTTCCATTTGACCACGATGATGTGGCTCTGGAGGGCATGAGTCATTTGTTCCAAGAGTTGTCTGAGGAGAAGTGAGAGAACATGGAGAGACTCCTGAAGATGCAAAACCACCTCTCCAGGCCGTGCCGGCCTCCAGGATGTGCAGAAGCCTTCCCAAGACAAGTGAAGTAAAACTCAGGACACCTTAGAAGCTGCCAGGGTCATGGAGAAGAACCTGAACCAGACCCTTTTGGATATGCATACTCTGAGTTCTGCAGGCACACACCCTCATCTCTGTGACTTCCTGGAGAACCACTTCCTGGATGAGGAGGTGAAACTCATCAAGAAGATGGGTAACACCTGACTAATCTCCCCAGGCTGAGCTGGGCAAGTATGTCTTTGAAAGGCTCGCCCTCAAGCACAACTAGGAGCTTTTGAAGCCCAGATGCCTTTAAGGGGCCCCTCTGCATCCCCCTGGTATCTGGCTTCTGGCTGAGCCTCTTCCTGAAACCTCTAAGCATCCTTTTAACCACGCTAGAGCCTTGTCCCATGCCTTGGACCAAATGGAAACAATAAAGCACTTTGCAGCAAAAACAAACAAACAAAAACAGTAAACACCTTGAACTGAAAATGCAAGGTGCAGAATAATATACATACTACCAGAGGTCATGGAGAAGAACCTGAACCAGACCCTTTTGGATATGCATACTCTGAGTTCTGCAGGCACACACCCTCATCTCTGTGACTTCCTGGAGAACCACTTCCTGGATGAGGAGGTGAAACTCATCAAGAAGATGGGCAACACCTGACTAACCTCCCCAGGCTGACTGGCCCCCAGGCTGAGCTGGGCGAGTATGTCTTTGAAAGGCTCGCCCTCAAGCACAACTAGGAGCTTTTGGAGCCCAGATGCCTTTAAGGGGCCCCTCTGCATCCCCCTGGTATCTGGCTTCTGGCTGAGCCTCTTCCTGAAACCTCTAAGCATCCTTTTTACCACGCTAGAGCCTTGTCCCATGCCTTGGACCAAATGGAAACAATAAAGCACTTTGCAGCAAAAACAAACAAGCAAAAACAGTAAACACCTTGAATTGAAAATGCAAGGTGCAGAATAATATACTACCAGTCCCCTTGTTAAAAACTTAAAACCACGCATAACAATGCATATATTGTTTGGGGGCACATACATGTATAATGAAGACATGAAAACCTGCACAGAAATAATGTACACAAATTCAGAATCCTTATTACCTTTGTAAAAATAGACTCAAGTAGAGGCTATTTATTGTACAAAACCCAGCATATCCAGATCTAGAAGCAACCAGTCTAACTCCTGGCACATTGAGACCATCACCAACCCCACCTATTTTTAAAGGTCCTACTTCCTTGAGGTTTATATGCCCATATGCCTCCCATCTCCTTTTGGTTACTCTCCCTCATTCTTTAAGAACACTGGTACTGCCCTAGCTGGTTTGGCTCAGTGGATAGAGCATCGGCCTGCGAACTCAAGGGTCCCAGGTTCGATTCCGGTCAAGGGCATGTACCTTGGTTGCGGGCACATCCCCAGTAGGGGTTGTGCAGGAGGCAGCTGATCGATGTTTCTCTCTCATCGATGTTTCTAACTCTCTATCCCTCTCCCTTCCTCTCTGTCTCTATATCTCTCTCCCTTCCTCTCTGTAAAAAATCAATAAAATATATATTTTTTTAAAAAGAACACTGGTACTTGTTTCATAGAATTTCTCTCCATCCCAAGATCTGCTACTACTCCAAGTGATCAAAACATTCACTGAGTGTCCCATCCAAAACGCAGCTTCCTCAACTTAATAGGCATCTACTCCACTCCACTTCAGTCACCCATTCCCATGGCTCTATCCCAGGAATACTTCATAGAATGTCTAAAACCATAAACTCAGGCATCTACTTTTCTCACCAACATCTTATTCTTTCAGGTCACTTGCTCAGTTGTTCCTAATACTCCTGTTTTGATTCCATTAAGACAGTTCGTCCATTAATAGTTACTTCTACTGTATCTCTGTGTATCAGCCTCCTCTTTCTTCACTTCCCTCCTTATCCAGATAAGATTCAATAGTCCAAAATCTAAACCACTTTTGCCAATATCTTCTATTACCTTGCCTTCTTACCTTTCTGTCACACTTTCCTGTGGGAAAAAAACAACAACAACAGTCTAACCCCAAATGCATGTTTTCATAGGTGCCCTTAGAGCAACATTCAACCTCTTAAATGTGACTTGGCCTCCACATGCTTCTACAAACATTTCTTGCCACTCACAATCTTGTATCTATGCTTCAGCCATAATGATTGCCTTTTATATCCTTGACTACATAGGCTTTTTCACATTTTTTTCCTCTTCCTATAACAACTTCCCACCAACTTTGCCTAGCAATTCCATAAAAAGTGATCAATAAAGATTTGTTGAATTAATTTAATCAATGAAAGCATGAGTAGATGGCTAGCCAGACCAATTAGTTACCCTAAGTAAATAAATAAGCTATGCCTAGTGTTTATGCCTTTACATCTCCAGGTCAACATCATATGATGCCCTTTAACATGTATTTCAAGAAGACCCACAGAGGCTCCCTTCTAGCATTGCCGCTGTTAATCTTGTGCACTTTCTCTAAAATTATTGATCTAACCCTAGTCAGTTTTTCTCAGTTGTTAGAGTGTCTGCCCACAGACTGAAGCATCACCGGTTCCATTCCCAGTCAAGGGCATGTAGCCTCGATCCCAGCCCAGGTTGGGGCGCGTGTGTGAGGCAACCAATCGATGCATCTCTCTCACCAATGTTTCTCTCTCTCTCTCTCTCTCTCTCTCTCTCTCTCTCTCTCTCTTCCCTTCCACTCTCTTAAAAAAATATCATCAGGTAAGGATTTAAAATAATAATAAAAGTATTGATCTAGTGCTAATTCTTCCTTCACAATGTCTTTCCATATAACTGAAACTAAGACCTTGTACTCTAATTATAATAGTAAACTTTTTAAGCACTTTTTAATATATCAAACTCAGGTAGATTTTATTGACACCATCTTATAGTTGAAGAAAATGAGGCTCACAGAGTTGAATTTAAGGCAGTAAGGCAGTAAAGCAAATCCAAGATTCAAAACTTCAATCTTTTTTATTTCAAAGTCCATTTTCTTTTCTTAATCAGTGTTGCATTCTTGGTCAAAAATAAAAGAGAGGAAGAAAAAATAAATAAGCAAACAAACAAATGAGAGGAAGAAAAGGAAAAGAGATGAATACAGATATTACTTTTATGAGTGAATAATCAAAGTAGAAGAAATAAGATTTGTAAAGAACAAAGGAACAGAGGAGGTGTGGAGAGAATGACGAGCCAGAAGAAGAGGCCTGAACAAGGATGAATTTGAGGTAAGAAATCCAGGTTTCAGCATCAGTGACAGCACACACATCCCAGAATGGTGGAAGTTAATGAGCTTTATCTGTGTTTGTGCTGGGAAAGTGTAAAGCGACATCTCCTTTAACTATGGAAGGGAGTAAACAATAGTGAGGAGGAGGAGGAGACCTGGGGTCATTTTGACATTGTCCAAGGGAGGAGGATATAGAGGCAGATCCTTGACCTGGTCGTGGACAACAAGAGCAACCTTTCCCAATCTGACGTCCTTTTCCTCTCTCTGCGGGTACCTGCTCTCTAGCCCTTGAAATTCCATGTGAATCCTTGTTCTTGGCTCAACTTCATAAAGTTTAATGTCAGAAAGACATTGTGTTTTCCTTCTTGTTGTTGTTATTTTGGGGTAGATGTTGAAGTTTTTGCCTAAAACAAATCATTCAGCCAAGAAGGGAGTTCAAAAAGGACATGACCGTCTCAGGACCTACTGGTTAAACTCCTCACACCATCCTCCCACAAGCAGGTTGAGACTCCCTGTGGCATTTCCAACAAGGTCATCAAGTTTTCTAAGAAGACAGAATAATCTTTGTTCCAGGAAGTACAGTTCTTGACTGATACATTATCCCCCAAGGGTTATATAACTGGAAGTTGCTCCAAGCCTTAATCCCTATACATAAAACCAATGACAAAATTAAACTACTTCCCAGTTGCAAAGCCAAACAGGACTCAGAGAACAGAGAGCTATGAGCCAAGGCCAGAGACAGGGCAAGGTATAGAAACTGGACACAAAGATTATGAGAAGTTAGACTCCTTGAGCTATGATCAGGACTAAAAATTCTACCATAAAAAAGGAGGCACTTCAAACAGGCACTATCCCAAATTTCCTATGGGACAGGCACTCAATTCCTCCAGCAGTGTTTTTATCCTAATCCTTTCTCCTTTCCTCCTGACTTTAAACCCTAGACTTTGAGCTGGATGAAAACTCAGACTGTGATCATGCCTCTTCAGAGTGAGAAAAACTTCATCATACTTCTTGAAGATATTTAGCTGGTGCCATGGGCTGAATGTTTATATCCTCCCAAAATGCATATATTAAAACCCTAATCCCCAATATGATGGTATTTGGAGATGGGGCCTTAGGGAGCTAATTAAGTCGTGAGGGTGGACCTCTCATGATGGGGTTAGTGCCCTTATAGGAAGATACACTCAAGAGCCTTCCCCCTCTCTCCATCATGTAACATTAGAGAAGCTGGTTATCTACAAACTAAGAAGAGGGTCCTCACCAGAAACCCCGTTAACTGGTACCTTGATTTGGGCTTCCCAACACCTAGAACTGTGAGAAATAAATTTCTGCTGTTTAAGCCACGCAGTGTATGGTATCTTGTCATAGTAGCCCAAACTGACTAAGACAGCTGGTGTACAGCACTAATGGGCCTCCACTATCCTGAGGACATTAAAACAATTCATGAGATAATCCTCTAGGATCATCTGACCACTGAGAAACGTTTTTCTGGTACAGAGGTGAGGAGGTACAGGAGAGGGGCTAATAACAGCTTATGTTTGCTGCATGTTTACTATGTACAGGCACTGTTCTCAGTGCTTTCTACTAAACCACTTAATACAATAACCCTATGAAGGAGATACAGCTACTATTTCTGTTTTACAATTAATAAAACTGAGGCATAAAGATAGAATGACCTTCTCAAGGTCACACATTAACAAGTGTCAGATCTGGTATTAAGAACCCGAAGTCTGACTCCAAAGTCTATGCTCTCCACCACTGCACTCCAGCCTGTTGCAAACAACAGCATAACCCCCAGAATATCTCACTATGTGGTACCCAAGGCCCTATTTCAAATTTAAAAATTTTTAATTTCCTCTTTATTATTTTGAAATGAAATTTGAAGATCACATAACCTAACTTCACACATACTTTCATGAAAATCCGCATAATGTACTAAATGCTGCATAAGAGAGAAATAAAAGGGAAGTAATTTACTATAAATTAATATTTATTTCCAAAAAATTTTTTGGCTACAATCACACCAGAAAACATAATAAATAGTTGGATGTTAGACCTCCAAACACAGAACGTAGTGGCTACAGCACAGGGATACAGACGTGCCACATTGGCAGCTCCAGCATCATGAGCAGCATTGCCATCAATGATAGGATTTTTGAAATGATAAATATCCTTGTTAACGTTCCAGACAAAACCAAAACAATCTCCCCCTTGATTTTCACAATTGTTGTATTACTAGAAAAATCAGTATATGTTAATTCCATGAAAAAAAATGCTTGTGTCTGTATGTGCAGTGGAGTTAGGCTTAATTAATTTTTAACAGACTTTATACCTACATGAATGTCTACCTAAAACATTTTAAGGTCAAGCAGAACACAGAAAAATTCTTTAGAGGTCAGCATTGCCTTGCACATTGACAGATAGCTAGACCCCACTCCCTAAGCACTAGTAGTTCCCTCTAATCATTGTGACAGCCCCAAATGGCTCTGGATATTATTCCCAAATTGTCTCCTAACTTCAGTAGGCCTCCATCTTTGCCCCATATCTCAAACTTTTGATCGTAGATTCATGACCCCTCAGTTGCTAACCTGATTCCTTATTCCACTGAACCTTTATCTCATTTCCCGATCTCTTCACCATATCCTTCCCTTATTCCCAATTCCATAAAGTACAACTACAGTATTTAAATCTAACAAAAGGAACTGGAGCCACTGAGGCTTTATGAAACCAGAACAAGGAAAAAACCTTAAACCAGCCAGGAGGAAGTGGGAGAAGGGAGGGAAGGGGGAAGGACAAGGAAAGGAGTGGAATAATGGCAGTAAGGGAAGGAATGGAAAGGAGAGAGAAAAGGCCTCTCGCCATCTCACCAGAACACCCAGAGTTCCTGAAGTGACTAGGCTTCAAGGGCAGAGACCACTCCCCAAGGATATGTCCCAAGGAAGGGCAATGGGAGTTCCAGGACCTATGCAGAACATACCACCCAACAGCAGCAGAATACACATTCTTCTCAAGTGCACATGGAACATTCTCCAGCTTAGATCATTTGTTAGGCCACAAAACAAGCCATAACAAATTTAAGGAGACTGTAATCAGCCCCAGCCAATTTGGCTCAGTGGATAGAGCATCGGCCTGTGGGCCAAAGGGTCCTGGGTTCAATTCAGGTCAAGGGCACATACCTTGGTTGCAGGCTCCTCTCCCACCCAGGCCCTGGTTGAGGAACGTGCAAGAGGCAACCAATCAATGTGTGCCTCTCACATGGATGTTTCTCTCTGTCTTTCCCTCTCTATTCCACTCTCCCTAAAAATCAATGGGGGCGGGGGAAGAAGACTGTAATCATATCAACCATCTTTACTGACCACAAGACATAAAACAAGTAATCAATACCAAGAAGAAAACTGGAAAATTCACAAATAGGTGGAGATTCAACAACATGCTCATGAACAATGGGGTCACAGAAGAAATCAAAAGGTAAATAAAAAAATAACTTGAGACAAATAAAACTGGAAATACAACATACCCAAACTTATGGAATACAGCAATAGCACTTCTTGAGGAAAGTTTTTAGTGATAAACACCTACATTTAAAAAAAAAAGAAAAAATAAACAGTCTAACTTTACACCTCAAAGGATTAGAAAGAGAAGAGTGAACTGAGCCCAAATTTAGTAGAAGAAAGGCAATAACAAAAAATAAAGCAGAACTAAAGAAAAGACTAAAAAAGACAATAGAAGAGATCAGCTAAACTAAGAGCAGGAGGTTTTTCAAAGATAAACTTCACAAACCTTTAGCTAGACCTACAAGGAAAAAAGAGAGAAGATTAAAATAAATAAAATTATAAATTAAAGAGGAGAGATTAAACTGATACTACAAAAATAAAGGGTCACCCGGCTGACGTGGCTCAGTGGTTGAGCATCAACCTATGAACCAGTAGGTCACGGTTTGATTCTGGTCAGGGCACATGCTGAGGTTGCAGGCTTGATCCCCAGTAGGGGATGTGCAGGAGGTAGCCGATCAATGATTCTCTCTCATTGATGTTTCTCCCTCTCTCCCTTCCTCTCTGAAATCAATAAAAATATATTTTTAAGAAATAAAGGGTCATGAGAAACTACTATGAATAATTACATACCAGCAAATTGAATAATCTAGAAGAAATAGATAAATTTCTAGAAACACATAACTACCAAATATGAATCATGAAAAAATAAAAAAATCTGAATATACCAATAATAAGTAAAAAGACAGCATCATTAATCAAAAACCTCCCAACAAAGAAAAACCCAGGACTAGATGTATTGAAGGGAAACTCTACCAATCATTCAAGAAAAGTTAATGCCAATTCTCA